CTGAAGAAACTTTACTTTCTAAGGAAGAAATATCTAGAGAAACTTTAGTTTCTAATAAGGAAAAATTAGAAGAAACTTTAATTTCTAATGAGGAAATATTAGAAGAAATATCGGTTTTCATAGAAGATATATCAAAAGAAATTGAAGAAATTATAGCAGACGCATCATCCGAAAATAGAAACGTTTCCGGATCCAAACCTTTATTTTCTAGTGCTTTTTCGAGTCGTTCTGCTAGCCCTGATTTCTTCCCTGTCGTTTCCAGTTCACGTTCTTCTAATTCTCGATGTAGCTCAGGCACTTTTAAGTCGCACAGTTTTTTAGCCATTATTGTCCACTATTTATTTACACTATCTCACTTCTCGACAACAATGTGATGTTTGTTTATTTTAAACAGTTTATTTAAACACTTATTTATTTTATAACACTACTATTCTAATTTATATATATATATATATATATATATATATATATATATATATATATATATATATATATATATATATATATATATATATTGGTCTTCATCAGTACGGTGCAGCCAAGTTCAAAAGAGAATGGAACTAGATGAAATCCAATCAAGAGGAGATCACTCAAGAAGCCAACCACTGGGAATGTTAGCAAAGTCCACAAATGTGCGCCGATTGGTTCCCTAGTGCTACTACAAGGTAGCAATGCCAATTTTGTTTCTGAGTGGCAGCTAGCTCATGTTCTAAGACTATCCTGGACCAGATGTTGTTACTCGAGTGGTAGATTTGGAAGTTCGTGATGGAGAGTTTAGGCGACCAGTGACAAAGATTTGTGTCCTTCCTTTAGACTAAAGACTATTTATTTTTTTAATTTATTTTTTTTTCAATATGTTTATTAGTGAGCTAATTATGTTTATTATTAAAAAAGTTTTAGTTTATTCAAGGCCGTCGGTATGTCGGATAATTAAGTGCACGTGGCAACACCAAAAAGAGACAATCATAAGATTCAGTAAGCAATGATGTAAGATGTGTTGAGGTGTTCGAAATTTTTGATTACAAGAAATTAAAGTTATTACAGTCCATTTTGATTATTTTATTATTAAAGCTAAGTTAACGTTACATTATCCATAACAAACTTTATTAGCTTGAATACACCCTTGGGTTATTTTGGAATAACGGTGCGCCTGACATATTTTTAAAATACTAAAAATTTGAATTATTATATACATTTTTTATCCAAAACGATTTTTGTCTACCTATCGGAATTCAAAAAAATTAAAAGTTTTCTGTTACACTTACACCATAGAAGCACGCTCGTCCTACCACGTCCTTACTACCTTAGAAGCGATGCGTTTGGTTGATATTTGGGAAGACGAGCGTGCTTTTATAGTGTAGGTGTGTCAGGGGTCTTTTTATTTTTTTGTATTTGAATATGTTTACAATAAGAGATTTAATAAAAAAATTATAAAATAAATCAAATTATCAGCATGTCAGTTAGAAATCTACCAGTCACACCACTATTCCAAAATAACACAACGATGTATTCGAGCTAATAAAGTTGACACATTGCAGTTATAACAGATTTATTTTAAATTTAATAGAGTGCGAAAAATTATTTAAAAAAATAGATTCTTGCCTAATTTTGGAAATGTTATTAACTTGATTTATTTCATAAAATATCACTTAAAATTGTTTTCTAAACATTTAAGAAATCTATATATTAGGTTACAATACTTTTTGTACAGTCTGTATATAAATTTAGATTTATACATTTCAAATTTCTGAATATTTCTTAATTAAAGAAAATGTTTAGATAACATGGTCATAGTATTTAAATTTATTACTTTCCTATTTATTTAAAATTAAAAAAAAATAAACGTCGTAATTAAAAAAAAGGGTATATCGTTGTACGTTTAAATTGGGATAACTTTAAAAGTATCCACCGAGTGATGTCACAGTTAACAGAGCAAAATTTAAACTCACTCCCCTATCCTCTTGTTAAGAGTAGTCTTTAAATTTGGCTGGCTGGCGTTATTTCTCAAAAAAGTTTTAAAAAATTTTGGATAGCACAAAGTAATTATGTTTAAAACTTTTCAAAAAGTACATTGTTAATTACTTTATAGATGACGTAATATTAATATTAAAAAAATATGCACTACAACAATTCAATTAAAGTGGATAAATAAATTATCAGGTGTGACTGGAAAAAAATAAATAGAACTCCTTTTTAGAGTGTATGGAAATGTTCTCTCAAAAATAATTTTTTTTTATTTCCTTTCGCTGATTTTAATTGGACACTTGGCAAGACCGCGCATATTTGTATTGACAGAGCATGACAGATATAATTTTAAATTCAAATGTTTAAGTTTACATAAATTATCACTAAATTATCCTCATAAGCACGTAGTATGTAACATTAAAAAAAAACCGTTAATTTATGGGGTTTCCGGTGGTATATTTCAAACAGACTGCTTCCTAAAGACTAAAATTCAAGTTTTGTAAAAAAAATATATTTTTAAGAAAAAAGAGTCTTAGCAATATTAACCTAAAGGCTTTATATTTTCTTATCACCTATAAACACAATTTAACTAAGTACATGATGGGTTTTGAATTAAATTTAGTATTTGAATTATTCCGAAATATATGCCTTGATTGAGGGTGCTATCACCTCTTCTGTAGAACACGGTTCTCGACACTCTCATCAGCCGCCTTAATAATGACAGTCACTATACAAGAGGGTATGCAGATGACCTGGTCATTCTGCAAACGGAATTTTGAGAACATACTCTGCGAAAGAATGCAAGTCGCTCTCAAAATTATAGAATAGTGGTGTAAGGACCAATCAGTGTCTATTAATCCTAAGAAGACTGAAATTGCCCTTTTCACAAGAAAAAGAATGAAAATGGAATTAAAACCTCCAGAACTCCTAAACACAAAACTAAACTTTGCAACTGAGGTGAAGTACTTAGGTCTCACCTTTGACAGCAAGTTAACATGTAACTCGCATTTAGAAAACAATGTCAAAAGAGCATACATTGCTTATGAACAATGCCGCCTAACCGTGGGGCGCACCTGGGGTTTCTCCCTCAGAGTCGTTGCATCGACTTACACGCCTATGCTAACACAGGATGCAGTTGTCTGAGTACCAAAATCCAAAAAATTAACAACTATCTGTAAACTAGAACAAATTCAAAGAACAGCATGTCTCAACATAAAAGGAGCCAACACCGACCGGAGCCATGGAAGTCATTCTTAGTCTCACTCCCCTTGATATTTATATCAAGGAGAAGAGAATCTGGTGAGGCGAGACGTGGCTTTTGGCAGAAGGTGTTCTATAGGCTCCCGCTGCTTTTCACCGAAGTATATCTTCCATAAGCCATAGAAAGTTGTAACAGAATAAATGGAAGAGCCGGAAGTGGCAGGTACGATTCATATCTACACCGACGGTTCTAAAACAAAGACCGTCGATGTGAAATATACTCCAGATCCTTAAACTTTAACATAGAATGGGCTGTGAGCAATAGTGCCAGTGTAGTTCAAACAAAGATCACGGGGATTCTCATAGCAGCAAAAGAAATCACTAGAAACAGTATCACTGGAAGGAACATGCTCATCTATACAGATAACAGACAAGCACTACTCACCCTGAACAGACCAAGAATTTATTCAGGGTTAGTACTAGAATGTCACGAAGTTTTGGCCGTATCCATCAACAACGTGGTACCCTTAAGATGGATCAAAGGTCATGCCACATCGACAGGTAACCGTCTTACTGATTCACTGGCCAAGAAAGCAGCCTATCAAATACTTTTTGGACCTGGCTCTTTCATTGGCCTGACAAAGTCGGTTCAGTAGTGACAGACCAAATTAAAGAATATTCCCTCGAGAAATTAAAGGGAATATGAGATGAATCAAGAAACTGCAAAGTTGCCAGTGAGCTTTTAAGTTATTCTGTTAACACTGCAGCAAACAAATACTTGACCATGACTAGATAGAATCTGCGCCTAGTCACAGGCATTCTGAATGGTCATTGCCAAGTACGGAAGTATCTCCATATCATGGGGCTCTCAAAATCCGCACTTTGCAGAGGGTGCGAACAAGAAGATGAGACCATCGAGCATATCCTCTACGAATGCTTAACATATTTATTAGTAGATTTGTGTTCGGCGAGAGTATCGGCTAACACCGGCCGATATAAGAGAAGCACCTCTTGGCGACGTTGTCAACTACATAAAATCTGTAGGCTGCTTCACGAGCTAGGAGGTGCCTATCATCTTAGGAGGATGCACAATGGGCCTAGTGAGGCCTAAGTGCCGTAGGGGGTAACTCACCCTCTACACATTACAGATACAGATATGCCTTGATTAGTGTTGATAAGTAAATTCAGAGGCACAACTGAATCACTGGTGACCAAAAAGATTACACATTGATAGAGACTATTATATAAAATAACCAAATGAAAACTGTTCAACAAAATAAAAACACTCATAGTTGTGTTATTTTGAGGCCTATAAATTTTAAATCAATAACGGATAATAAAGCAATTCTAATCAAAAACTAATAAGTCATAAAATTGAAAATAGAAAACATTAAAATTATACATAAGATGTACCTTGATTAAATGAACATTGTTAGACATCCATTGGGTGGACCATGCAGCTCAATGATCAAAACTAGATAGACTGGATGTGCATTGTTTACAATATCCATAGAATATCCAACAGATATAGTTGCTGTTAGATTAAGTTTTCTCCAAGTACCTCTGAATATCTGTATAAGAGTTGCTTACGTTAAATCAAAATAGACTCTGCCAAAATTGGCACCCTAAATTCAAAACTTGTCTAATAACAAAAACTTTTAGACTACCCATTGTTCCAATAGCACTATATCCTACGCAAAGATAAAGTAGAATGGTTGAGAGTGCAAAGGTAAAGAGTCCTTATACAGTAGTATTAAAGTAAGCATAAAATTTAAAAAGTGTAAAAGCAATTTGTATTGATTTAACAATTCAATTTATAAATACTATATTTTCAGTTCATCAATTATGGTCACGACTGTACCCTCGAAGATATAGCAGATAATTACGACTGGGATTATGCTCCAGGTCTTTCAATCCGAGCTAAAATAAAAAGATGGTGGGCTCGGATGAGGGTCGTATCAGAGACCAGTAAATTTTATACACATCATTTAAGAAGTTTTGGAGCCATTTCGGCGGAGAGGAAAAGACACCTGAAGCAATATCCTCATGCAATTCATCCATTTAGTATAGGAAGGTAATATTAATAGACAGCATTTTATTAAAGATAAACTATTATTTTATATGTATGAATTTTGAGTTTGCTTCGTTAGCCATATGTGCTGAACGCGCATTTATTTAAATACTTGCCTTTAATGGTCAAAGACACGCTCATTTGAATTTTACAGCAGACCACGTGAATACGCCAAATTAGTAATAATGTAATAATTTTAGTTTCACTAACAATTATAGTGTCAGTAGAGGTTTTGATTGCGTTTTGTTTACCAAAATTATAATATAGTTATCTAGAATTTAATTGAATTTAAATAAAACCGAAAATCATTAAGGCACTTCAAAGGCTCTACTCGACTACATAGATAGTTATAATAGGAATCTTAAAAAAACGTCAATTCGCAATCATTAATAGCCGAAGTACAAAAATGATGAGAATTTAGAAAACGATTAACTAGATGATTAACGGTACCATTCATTTTAATCTAGAAAACTCTATAGTAGGCATACCAACTGTAGATTCTCCCGTAAATTTTGGAAAAAAGTAACTTAATATTTCCGAAGTAAATTTTTCTCCAACTATAATAAAACTAATCGAAAATAAGCAAATTATACCCGTTCAACTTTCCAAAAATATCTTTGAACATGAATTAATTAAATTTACTAAAGAATTTGTTGTGCCAAATGTAAAATATCACTAATATTTCAAAGAACCGCTTTACGAAAAATTTAATGTATTAATCCAAACATTTTTAAAAAATATACTAATGCATATGATAAATTGTTCAAAAAATTAATAGATATCAATCGAAGTGATATTCGGTTACCACGAGGCAAAAACCTAATCATAGCTAAGAAGAAAACAAAATTCGAATTAAAAGCTTTATTATTAGCCTAATCAAAATAAATCAATACAAACCTAAAATCAGAAAACTTGAAACAGATTAATTATATATTTTAATTTACAGTGATTGGGCATATACATTCAGTCAAAAAGAGTCTTACCAAATTTCAGCATTGGCCGAAAATATATATTGCGAACGTAAAATTAAATTCTATTTAAAAAATTCCTATAACTAGACGAATAAAGATTAAGTGCTAAAATACAGAAGATCTTCTTACCCTTTTATTAGTGATTAAATACAATTTCCATGGTCATATTTTACTAGAATTAAAACACACAAGCAAATCGTTTAAAATCGTATTAAAAATAAATTGTTTTTAAAACCCAAACACTCAGCCCTTAATAATGAAAGGGTAAAAAGCTCTGCTGAATTTCAGCTCTTAATTTCTATTCGTCTAGTTGTAGGAATTTTTTAAATATTTAATTTTACGTCCGCCATATAATATACATTTACGGCCAATATTGAAATTTGGTGACACTCTTTCTGACTAAATGTATACGCACAATTACTGTAAGTTAAAACGTTTAATTTATACTATTTTAAGCTTTTAAGTTTTTTCTGTTTTTTTCTGGAATAAGGTACATATTATCCCAACCGCTGTAAAACCATTTCTAATTTTACAGATGGATAGCATAGCTCTATAAGAAACAAAGCTTTTAACAATGCAGATTATTTTTCTAAATACGGTCAATTATGTAAATTGAATTTTGTCGAAGTGGTATCCCGGAAGAAATAATTTCGGACTATGGTACAGAACTAAAAAATTAACTGATAAAAGAACTTTTAAAAGAACAAAATTAAAATTAATTTGTTACGTCACAGCATCGAGAATTTAATGGAATAACTGCAAGGTTTTATTCTTTCATAAAGCAAAAGGTAAACAATACCATTGTGACTTATAATATTTCGATTCATTCAGTTACAAAACTAAAACCGTTTAAAATTATAACGGGCCATATAAGCAACTATTTTCATTTTAATAAACTAAGAAAAAATTATTAAACGTTTATATTTAAAAACATAAAAAAAATAAAACGTACCCTTTTAAACATAAACGGAACAATTCAAAATATGAAATAAAAATTATAGAAAAGGCTGACAAAAATTTGAAAATAATTGCCAAAACAGTATTTGTTCGTAATAAGCAAAAACAAGGCAAGACAAAAAATAAGTATCAAGCCGAGAAAAATGAAACAAAAAATTACTCTTAGACGAAGAAAATATCGCTGACGATATTTACCTATCCAATATTAACAGACCTAGAAAAACACTTATGCTATAACCCAAAATTTAGGATTATTTTCAATTAATTTAAGTCTGGCAAACTTACAATGAAATCCACTTTTAGAATATACTAACTTAAATAATCAATATGATAATTTAAAGCTTATTTCTATTAACAATACATTTTTTAAAAAAGAAACAGAAAAATATGGTAATATTGTTTCTTATAAAGTTGTTTTCGGCGCTTGGGATTATACAGCTGGATCGCCTCTCTTAAAATGTGTCCCTGTGGCATGCATGTCGATTCTAGCTTTTGCTTTATCGCTATTGACTTTGAAACTTAAGTTCTGTATGTTCATGAAATATGTACGGCCCTCTTCTTCACCAGGAGGCTGCCTTTCAAAAATAAGATCATGAGCAAGTTTCATCTCCCTTCCAGTAATCATCATGGATGGAGTATAACTGAACGATTCATGTTTTAGAACTTCGATAGGCTAGCAGAAATAGAGGAATTAAAGTGTCCCAGTCCTTTTGATTCTTAGAGAAGAACATTGAAAGTTACTATATGGTTCTATGGTTCTATGCTATCATTCCTACGGACTGTGGGTGGAGAGACGTAGTACGTGTTTTCCTGATACCTAACAAGTATATCAATTTATGCTATATTTCGGATTTAAAAATTCGTCCTCTGTCAGAACAGAATTATAGAGGGACTCCATGTCACTCAATGACGTTGGTCATAAATGCTTCCGCTACAGTCGTCGCTTCCTGAGTAAAAATAGGCGCCATTTCGGGCCACTTTGAAAAATAAGCCATAACAACTGTCAAGTATTTGTTTCCCCTTTCTGTTAAGCGAAGTAATTCGAGGATATCTATGACGATACGTTCGAATGGCTCTTCGTAAAGGTACTGTGCCATTTTACCTCGGCTTCTTGTTTTGGGATTTGTTTTGCTATTTCATAGGTCATATTCCTTATACCAATCTTCTACATCCCGTCGGCAATTTACCCAATAAAATCTTTCCCTAACTCGTGCCAATGTCCTTTTGGCCATCGTAAAGATACAGGGAATCCCAGGGAGTCTAGTACCCTTTTTTACTAAATTTGGCTATATCTTGCCATGTAGGTCTGACTCCATTTTTGAGCCATTCTCGGACAATCTTCAAGTCATTATCTTTTTTTGAGTCTTTCGTAGACTTGCAAGGATGATTCCCGTCTTCGTCATCCTATAACTTGATAGTTATCGCCTAAAGTCTAACTTCTTCAACCACCTCTTGTTCTTCGAGCCGTTTACAGTACCGACATTGTCGTTCTAAACAGGGTCGCCTGGAAAGAATGTCTGCGTTGCTATGGAGACAGCCCCTTCGATGCACTATCTCGAAGTTATATTATTGCAGTCTTTCTATCTATCTAGCAATTTGTCCTTATTACAGGTTATTTAAAATTCTTCAGCCACTGCAAGGCGCTCTGGTCACTTCTATTGAAAAAACCTCTGTTAAAAATCTGATGTGTCCAACACATGACTTTCCTATCTATTTATTATAGGCTTTTTCCGGTTATTTTGTACAACCTATTGTAGCACCTTTCTAAATGTTTAGAGGATAAACTAAATATATACATTTTCCACATACATCTATCTCGAAACATTTTTCTTTAGATATTCATTGAAAACGAAAATACTGAAAAATTTAAATTTAGCAATTTTCCTCCAATTTTTCCATTACGGTCCATTTTAGAAAAATCATGTAAAAACAAACATTATAGAGATCGATATCGCAAACAACTTTTAGTTTATTCAATTGTCTCAAAAATCAGAATTTTGCATATTTTGTCAAATTTCTCGAATACGGACCATTTCATCAAAAATTTGACATATAACAAAAATTATAGATAATATTAAAAGTAATTTTTATTTAAACAATTTTCTTCTCCAAACATAAAAGATATATTCTATAAAATATAAAAACGGCCTCCCATAAAGTACCCCCCAGATGTTCGGACTTTGTCCAAAATCTTATCATTTTACGTCAAGCCGAAATAAAACTTAAGCTTAAAATTTAATGTTTTTCCTTCATCCGTTTTTGAGTTTTCTTCAAAATTCGAAATTTACACATTTTCTTAAATATCTCGAATACGGTTTATTTTAGAGAAATTATGGATGGAATAAAAATTATAGAGAATTATATTACAAACAACTTTTATTTAAACAATTTTTATAAAAAATTATTTTTTTACATTTTGTCAAATTTCTCGAATACGGACCATTTTAGAAAAATTTTGTGTGGAACAAGAAATATTGATAATAATATTGTTAGTAACTTTTATTTAAATAATTTTCTTCTCCAAACGTAAATAACAGATATATTTAATAAAATATCAAAATGACCACCAATAAAGTACCCCCCAGATGTTCTGGCATACACACACACACACACACACACACACACACACACACACACGCACACGCACACGCACACGCACACGCACACGCACACGCACACGCACACGCACACGCACACGCACACGCACACGCACACGCACACGCACACGCACAGGCACACGCACCCGCACCCGCACCCGCACCCGCACCCGCACCCGCACCCGCACCCGCACCCGCACTCGCACTCGCACTCGCACTCGCACTCGCACTCGCACTCGCACTCGCACTCGCACTCGCACTCGCACTCGCACTCGCACTCGCACTCGCACTCGCACTCGCACTCGCACTCGCACTCGCACTCGCACTCGCACTCGCACTCGCACTCGCACTCGCACTCGCACTCGCACTCGCACTCGCACTCGCACTCGCACTCGCACTCGCACTCGCACTCGCACTCGCACTCGCACTCGCACTCGCACTCGCACTCGCACTCGCACTCGCACTCGCACTCGCACTC